GCGAAAAATCTGAATAAAACTCTATCCGTTTCGAGGACAATTGGTTGGTTATTCTTAACGTTATTCAGAATCCGTTCAAAATATAATATGTTGCTCTTTTGTCTTTTAAATTTCGATTCCTTTTATACATACAAAATACATATAGAAAAAATGTATACAATTCATTTTTTCTAGATAACGACGGCGGGGTAGATCTAATACGTACCGGCATGATTAAACAATCGACTACTGTCATTGAATGTGAAGAAACACGCATTGTCGTTGTTCAAACAACCCCGTGTGATAAGCAGCGTCGGAAATACTCTTTCTTCTTAACTGATATCATCCACATTCCGGTGAAAGAGAATCGGAGGAGGGATTGTTAAAAGCGTAATTATGTGTTGGGATTCTCATTGTTCCCCTTTTTTAAACATTGAACGGATTATGAGGTCTTTTCGATATGAAAGAGTTTGAATGAGAGAAGTAAGTATTCTTTTACTATTCATGTTTAGTGCCTTTTATAGAATTTCATTAAGTTTACTGATGTTGTCTATCACAATGTTTAAAAGTTCATAATCGATTTTTCAGTTATATCCTGATAAGCTATTGACCTCAAATTTTGTTCACATGCTGTTTGTTTATGAATGACAATACAAAGTGGCAAAGCAATTTTTCTTCAAAATTTAGATTATTTTTGTAATTTAATGTTTAAAGGATTTTTCGAACTTATTTTCGTTTTATGAACAAACAAGAAAATCTCACAATTTTACTGTTTGCACCATCAGTTTAGAGCAGAAAGAAATCTTTGAATTAGAATTTATATAAAATTTATAACTTAATTTCTAATTTTCTGCTGAATTTCAAAAATCGCTAGATTTTTTTTTCAACTTATTACTTTAAAATTCCAACATCTAAAATATGTATGCTGTAAAGTTTTGGAATTTTGGCAGATTGCAGAACAAATGCTTCACGCTTTTTTAAAACAAGAATAATAAACAAATAAGAATTGCGCTATTTTCTATTTTATTATAAGCTTTTATTAGTTCACTTAATGGTGTTTGTAGCTACGGTCAAGATTTTGCCATGTATTTTTAAACTACTTCCTTACTAATACGCAGAAATAAATGCCCGATTCACCTGCCTGTAGACCATGCCTTAGGGCTGTAGTTGGCTGGATAGTAGATTACTTCCACTGGTTGGACATATTGGCTTGAATAATAAAAGCAAGTAAGCCATCCAGAAAACGATACCCCTCCAAAAAAAACTGCTTTCTTATAAACTTATAATGTTCCTAACTACTACTTGGTCTGTCCTGATGTAGTCCTGATATTACCTATTGAACTGTGTAGCGACTTACCGTTGAGTTCAAGTGCAACGACAAAGTTCAGATAAGGATTAAAGTACCTCTTTATTCACTTAAAGTAATATTTGCCCTGTTTGGTCGTACAGGGAAATTTTCACTCGGGCTTCAAATCAAGGTAAGGAAAATAAGAAACTAATCTAATACTAAACTAAACTGACTTAGCCGAAGCTAGACACAAATACCTAACGTAATTGGCCCATAATTAAATCAGCCGGCGATTATCAACAGGCACGTACAATACGACCGAGCATAGTAGGTTTACTAGCGAAGTAGCCTGACGGCAAACACGCGTCACAAAGGACTACTAAGCTGTCCTACTAAAGTAAGCTGAACCTGCCTTAAATACCTCCTTCTACCTCATTTACATTCAATACGATTCTAAAAACTCATTCTGGTAGGAAGTTATAAGTGGAGAGCAAGAACTGAAAGGAAAACGTGTCAAAATTGAAAATAACTGCTGTAAAATTGGAATACACCTTACAAACTATTCAGATTAAATTTGCGGATACACTCATTATGGATGACAGTGATGCGCGGACGTACAAATAACAAAAATCTAATTAATAATCTAATTTAATTGTAAAAAGTATAAGCCATTATCTTTATAAATTTATCAATATCACAGGCTTTTATTCGTTACATAAAATTTAATAGGAATGTTGTAAAGAGAGTTATTTAATCTCTTGTTCTCATTAAACTATATGATAAATTAATTTTCTTCTTTTAATACATTAATTATTTTACGGCTTTTAAATAAAACCTTATTTTATAAAAACTTTCTTTAAAATTTCTTTTAGAATATGTACAGCACGTATGCTAAAAGCTTCCTTTTCGCCTATTATTATAAGATTATTTGATCTAATATAATACACTGAACTTTTTTCTATTTTTATTCAGTGATCCATTCCCTTATAATATACTCAAGTTTGTATCTTTTGTTTCCAAAACTAGGAAATTTTTTGACAGTTTTTTTTTTTTTTAAACAATAAAAGTATAGTAGGTGAAGGCTTCTCGTCGTGCGTGTTGCATTTAACCGCTATTATACTGCTACCAATGGTCAACTACGTTTTAAGGAAGTAAGCCAAGGATAAGACTCAAATATAAAATATGGTAATGGTAAAATATGCTACTTTTTGAAGACTCTTCTGTCTAAATTCCTTTGCTTTTCACAAACTGTGAATAACGATTTACCATCAGAATTTAAATGGTTGACTGGAGTCGTTCCTTCTCCTGATCAGCTTTGGATGAGACAATAAAAGATTTAGGCACTTCTTCTGCACATTTTTTTGGTCACTAGCGATCGCCGCTGAATACTGGTTACTCGACCTGGACTTAAATCCCAGCGAACGGACTGGCTATATGGGAATTTTCGTAGTTTTCACCATGTACGACGTGAACATGAGCCAATGTATCATAAAAGAATTGCTCCTCGAATATATCCCTTCCCATAGTCAAAGAGCCCTTGCATGCTTAATTAAAAAATTTTGCGTACTTTTTGTGATTAATAATCACAAACGGCCCACTTCTGATCAAGTGATTAACCGAGCTGAATTCCGGTAGTTCGATCTGGATTCAAATTCCGGGGAACGGACTGGATGCATGAATGTTTCCGTAGTTTTCCTCATCCAACTGAATGCATATGAGTTCCCTTTGAAAATTTCTCTGCGAAGATTTCTTATTTGCTTAGACAGATAGTACCCTTCTGTTTTGTTATAATCATCTAGACACACAAAGTACTTCCAAACCTCATTTGTAATTCTGATAATCCTTTTGCACTATTAAAGGTGCTGATATTTCAATCAAAAACAAAGTCCAATATTAAGAATCAGCGTAAATTTTAAAAACTTTAGTACCAGTTTCGATAGTTTTTGAACTACCTTCTTCATCTGCTAAGTGCAAAATATCATAAGTCATTTTGCACTTAGCAGCTGAAGAAGGTAGATTTTAAAAAATTTACGCTGATTCTTAATGTTGGACTTTGCTTTTGATTGTTGTTCAGAGGGATATTTAAACTAAATCTGCTGATATTTAGTTGGAGATTTAAGGATTCTGCAATTGATTAAAGCCAGTACTCAATTTGCGTTAATTTAATTTATTCGGAAGAAGAAAATATGATGCTTATGCGGAATATCTTCAAAATTGATCTGCCGGGAGTAAGGAATACTGTTATATATGAAGATATTAATAGCCTAGCGCACATAAAATAATATGTCGACTACGAATAAAACATATTCCGTGTTGTATACATCATTATTTATTTTATTAATGAATTTCGTAACATATTATTAACAAGAGGGAAAAAACTCTTATATCGATTATTTTGTCTAAACATTTCAAAAGGTATGACATGTACAATACTACAAACTTAACGCATTCTGCGTTTGTATGCGTCATTATTTTGACAGTGAATGTATGAGATACTTCCTATATTATCTTTTACAGACTTTAGATTTTTCGAAGATAGAAATGTGATAAATTAATGGCTTTTTCGCCGGAATTCGAACACAGACCTTCCAACTCCCTCGTTGGAAATGCTAACTGTTTGCACCACGAGAGCACGTAAGGGGAAAGCAATAATTCCTTATAATCTTAAATAAGATTACGCTCAGTACCACTGATGCCATCTGTTTTACAATGTTCCACACTCTGCTTTTTATTTTTAAAATTCTGTTAGAATGTTTCAATTCTAGTTTTTTTAAAACTTACTAAAATATTCAGTTTGAGTAACAGTAAGGAAGGGCAATGGCTCACCAGCAGCCGAGCGGTAAAGTTGTTGAACTGGTAATTCGGTTCGAGATTCGAATCCCGCGAACAGGCTGGCTGCAATGGGCGTTTTCGTAGTTTTCCTCATGTGTAACGTGTATACGAGCCAGTTTTCCTTAGAACGTCCTCTACGTAGGCATCCCTCCCCTTAGGCAGATAGCCCTAGTGTGCTTTGCCGTAATTAAATAAACCAAACCAAACCAAGGAAGCGCAATGACCTCTAACTACATTTATAAACGCTTGTCTAAGGAAAATAAATTGATTTTTGTTGATTTTAAACACCCTTTCATATATGCATCGTACAGATCTGGAGTACATAAACGCAAGCAAGTGAAATGAGTAAACCTTGTAAAGTAATTATACATGGCAGTTGGTGAATAAAGCTTGAAGCCTCGTTAACTTTTTATTAGAAAATGCAAATCCATGAACAGCTGAGCATTCGTCGTTTAACATATTATTTAGTACCAGAACTATCGATGTTAACGTACGCGTATTTCGACTAAGGAGCAAATCAATCAGTTTAGATAGATTAGTATTTTTAATTCTGATTTTATTTTGCTTCATATATTTCGCTGTTCACTTTCAGGATCATTCGAGGTGGTAAAGGAATTTTTTTACAGGTAAAAAAATTTTATGGATAGAAAAACTAAAAATCAAGTTAAAAGAATATTTTTCTTTCTCTGTTCACGTAATTGTTATATAAGGTTATTGTTTATATTTCTATCATTATGTTAATTCATAGTATTTCATTAATCACGGTTATCAAATATGTGTACAATTATATCTGTTTACGTTTTTATTTCAAATACTTTATAAAAGAATCGCATAAAGCTGAATCGAATCTTATAGTTTCCTTTTTGAAACATTGTATAGCAATTTTTCTCTTTTATTTCAGGTTAAATGCTTAGACCTGCATCTTATTCGTCTAAGAAAATTTGTTTTAGGAGAACACAGGACTACATAATTATTAACAAGAGAAAAAAACTCTGATAATTCAATCGATTATTTTGACTGGAAAATTTTCGAAAGGTATGTCACGTGCAATAATTGTTTGCTTCAAACTTTAACTCTCACTAAGAATAATTACTTCAGTAATGCCAACAATAAAAAAAATTAATTAGAATTAATAGTTCGCATCAATATTTCTTTAAAAAATGGTGTTTTATAAAATAGAAATAAATTATTTCTCATTGAATTTAATAAGTTTTTCAATAAAATATTTTTGTCTTTAAAAAAACTTTTTATTTAATTTAAGTATTTTTTAAAGCTGAAACATCTGAGGCATACTGGTGCTGTTACAGCGTCATTAATAAGTGTTAATATACTACAAAGAAACTAATTTTAATAAGTTCTACACGCATGTGGACAGTTAGAATTTCCACGTAATTAAAGCAAGACCAAGTTGAAATACAATTGCAACATAACTCATTGAAGTTAAATTATCAGCGTTAACATCTTGTAATATCGAGAGGCCCTAACTTGTCAGCAACTGTGGTAGTGACTGCTACTAAGTGTGAATTTACACAGAAACGTAAGAAGGGTTAAAGATCTTTTTATTCAACTTTTAAAATAACAGCTGCGTCCACTTGACGCTCACAAACTACGCCGACCCGGCGGTTTAACTGAAACAGAATGTAGAACTGAAAAATAATGGCTGGATGAATAAATAGAGAGATCACTATCCACGAGGCTCTGAGATCTTAAACTAACCTAACCGCGTTCTAACATTACCGCTGGGATTAAGCAGTTGAAAGATCCAGCAAAATCTGCCGAGATAGGCACACAGGCTGACCGCGCGGTTCTTAAATTCTACCGAGGGACATTCACGTTTGCGATTCAAGAAGCACACCTACAATCTCGTTTCCCTTCTATTTAAACTCAACTTACTTCTGCTAAAATTTGAATATACTGCGCGTTCTACTACAATTTACATACTCTTGCATTGGCAGTTCTAAGGGAAAGTAAAGGCTAGACTGGAAAGATAACTTAAAATAAATGTTAGTTAAAATAAATATAAACCCTACAATCTAAATCCAATGCAATTACTAGAGTTCCCTTTATCAGGTAGATGTTTTTGATTTCCAGCCTCGACCAAGATAGAGAATACATATTTATCATGTTGTACCAAGGTCATTTCACTAATTTCTTACGTATTTTGAATAAAAGTTTTTTAATTGAGGTCTTTCATCATTTTTTCAAAATGACATTTGTTACTTTTTCGAAATGACATTTTTGACATTATTTTTTCAAATGACATTTGTATTTTTGACGAATGAATGTCTTTTAAAAAGTTGCCTTATCATGACCTTTCTCTCATACTTTACCTAAAGAGCATTTCCATCCTATAGAATTCCTAAGTATCATATACAATACCCAGGTAACTTATATAATAATTCTCAGATTTCATACTTTGCCTAAAAACGCCAGGTGTTCCATAAAATGCTTAGTTGTTACATTGAATGCCGTCGTTTCATTTACATTGCCGTTAACATATCTATCTCCAGGAGACATGCCGCATTAATCTAATATGGCTTCATATGCGACCGCATTCATCACTGTTTTCTTAAAATAAGCCTGATACACCGATGAAGACATCATGAATTCATTCTGTTTGCCACGAGAAGGTGCGTATGATATTCTGACCTTGTGCGTTCAACATTCATAGAAGTACCTTCATCTTTTTACAAGTTAATCTCATCTCAAAGCGGATCAGGAGTGCCGGCACTATTAGGAGGTTCTACTTTTTCCATTAAAAAGCAGTCTTCTACAAAACGCCCATGTCCCTGTCATGTAAGTGAACAGTCGCCGATTTGCATAAAGGTTCCTGTATCGTTATGAAATGGCCCGGGACATGAAAATTCCCTACTTTTATGCTATGAAGTAAAGAAATAGATCCACCAGTTATGAATTTTCGAAGTGCTGACGACCACATGATTAAGACGATAAGTTTAATATTTATATAATATTTATTTATTTATTGCGCCATTAAAATTTTTCTTCCGATGAATTTAATACTTTTTGTTGCATGAATCTTGCAATCATGTTGAATGTTTTATTCGTTTTTAGACCATTGACATCATGTAACAAAGCCAGATTGGCGACCACTGGCGTATCGGGAAATTTCCCAAATTTTCCGAAAGCCCCAACCGCGCCTGATTGTAAGATCATTTCTCTGCGCTTCTGTAAGCATTCTTGATATGCGATGGAATCACTACAAGATCAGCTAATAAATGGTAGGTGTAAAGCCCATGGAGTTAAGAAGAAAATTCTCATCTCCATTTCATGACCATATGAAGTTCAATAATGGCTACGGTGAAAAGCAATTGGAAGTTTCGCGAGGAAAAGGCAGGAATCTATTAAGTAAAATAAATAAGTTTCTATCTTTTTCTAGCTTCATTTTATTGGCAGAGTCGCTATAGGGTCACTATACCAAACACTTCATTTCCTCGCATGCTGTAAATAGTAAAACAGCATGCGAGGAAAAAATCTACCCTCGTCTCCTCGTTTCATACTGACTAGCTAAAAAGAATGAATTCTTCTCCGCGCATCGAATGGAAGACCATCTAATAGTTAGTATATTTGAAACTAAGGGCTTAAAGATTTAATATACCGTAGCTGATAGGTAGGTTGTAACAGAGTTTGAAATTGCTGAACTATCGTGCTTTTGCCTCGTATAAGTAGATGGCGAATATGGCAACCTTCGCTCTGAAACATCCACTTGCATTTCTCTCGAAATTTCTTTTTTCAGCACAATACTTTTTATACCACTGTTACTAGCATTGATCGGGGATTAGAGCATTTCGACTTTTCGTGTGCGGTAATTTGTTGCATTTTCCTGCTTCTGCTTTTCTAAAAATGTAGGGCCTTTAAAATTTTGAAAATTAAAAGTAGTAAAAGTAGTTCAGTGCTAGAAACAGTATTTCTTCGGCACGCTCTATCTGGATTCATGATTTTGCTCAAACATTGAGGAATACCAATGTCGAGTTTCAGATGAATTTCAGCTCTGGCTTTCGATTTCTTCAGTTAGTAGTTAATTTAAAGCACGGCAGGATGTGGAACAGATGGAGTGTTTGCAATTGTTTTACATTAAGATGTTCAAAACGCTCACGATTTGTATAATTGTGATGGCAATTTATTTTAGTAAAAGGCGAGAGCAGATTTGACAGAAAGAAGAAAGTAATTATAAAAGCAGTAATTTCAGAGATTGACATGAATAAGGACTATTCGGAGATTAAAAATACATTGTTGTGTGCGTACGGGTTCGTAATAGGTCACTGGTACACTGGTTCGATGATAAGTTACTGAAATTATTTTTTTATCAAAAGAAACGCTTCAGTGTTCTAGAATTTTTCATGGAAATACTTGTACAGGTGTTCACAATCGGTAGGTACACTTCGGTCTACTAAGAATGTTAAACACAAGGTAATGTAAAGCGCACCTAAAGAGAAAGCTAACCCGGAAATAACTCAGTTCACGCTAAACTAACAACTTGCAACAACAATAACTAAACAACTGAGAGCAGATGCTCTCTCCGGCCTTATATAGATTTCACACGGCCGCTGAGATATTTCTAGTATATCCTGCTTCTCAAAATTACTGGAAAGCAATATGAGGGTCGAATTACGGTTGCAGCTAATAATAGTGTTCAATTACATTTATTCAATTAGAATACCTATTACGATGATACAAGGACAGGATCCAAATGTCGCCAAACGGTTTTTCGCTATTCCTCGCCAAATTTAGTGATAAAATAAGTTGCCAAAACCGTTGTTAGCTTGGCGCTATCTAAAAAAATTACCAACATACCCATTTACTCAATGTTAAATGGACTTGTTCCTGAATTCTTACTTTTCCTGCATAGTTCGTCTCTTTAGATTTTTCGTGATACATTACGCAGCAGAATACGACAATTTCACAAATGATTGCACTAAAATCATCAATCTATGTACAAAATTCGTAACAATATTTCCCAGCGATATGAAATGGATCAGATAAGACTTCCTAAACTCTTTCAATAATTAAATTTTCTAAAATTTAGTGCCAAGTCTGTTTGAAATAGTTACAGTCACAACTTAAAAATATGAATTTGACGCAGCAATTAAAATATTATTTATTTCAAAAGTTGTAGAAATTACCAAATTACCTCTTACTCGTAGGCTAGGAAATCAGATCTTATTCCATGAAATTAACTAATTCCAAATTTTTACACTGAGTGTTCTAATAAAACTATTAAAAGAGGTTTCACATCTCCTCATTAAATTTAATTTAAAATCATCTGAAAGCATCAGATTTTATATTTATAGATTTTATATTACGTACAAAGGGGCGTTTTTTAACGTTTTGTGCGTTGCCTTTATATTAAATATCATGTTCTTTGCACTTAAACCATAAAATTCAATTCAACAGCAATATCTCAAAATTATTTTAAAATGAGCATATCTTTAGAATTTCCGATATACAGTCTCGCGCGCTGGAGATAAGAACTTTTTTTTTTTTTTTTTTCCCGTACAATGTTGCCAGTACTCGCTTTGAAATCGTTGAGTTTGTTAATCAAAAATTCGTTAAAATGTTACAAAATATGAAATCGATAATAAAACAAATTCCACATTAGAGCTTCCAGATGCGGTGGAAGACTACGTTATTCAAATTTTAATGGCTCTAAGTACCGCTGTTTTATCACAATGAGAGAACCATACATATATTTATGCAGCTTCTTTAGTATTTAATTTCTTTAGATATAACACAGGGCGATAATATTTGGTGGCAACAATTTGAAAAGTGATTCGCCGTTTATACTGAATCGACGCAAAATACCAAAACCAAATTAATAGCCCTTTTGAGCTAACGCCCTTTGGGCTAATTATGTTAAACACCAAGTTGTAAAATTCGAGTTCTGCGCAGTTTCTGTATTCTTAAGTCTAGTAATTTTTTATGTTTTTAAATTAAGAATTTGATGCAAGTTTTAAAGTGTATGTTTTAATAATATAAGATGATATAGGATTAACAACGCAGGATCTTGTGGTTTGTGT